TGCGCCTGGCTCTCCTCCTCCCGTGGATGTAGACTTTCAGCTGGGATACCAGCTCATTCGAACCTGGCTTGTCTCATCTGCTTTCTGCTGGGTACCTCTCGCTGCTTAAAAAGAATTAAAATGAAATAAAATTAAAAATTCAGTTCCTCAGATGCACTGGCTGCATGTCGATTGCTCGGTGGTCACATGTGGCTGGGGACTGTCTGCATGGGACAGCATGGTCCTAGCCTATTGCCATCATTGTAGAACGTTCCACTGGATGGTACAGATATGAGTTTCTTCAAAAAGGAAAATTCTAGGTCTATGTAGAAATTTGAAGCATTTTATGGCAGCCATTCCACATTCTCGCTTGTGAAAAGCCCTGTGTGCGGGGTTAGATAACATTTGGAACTTTTGCTGGTGTGTGCTCCCGCCGGCTCTTTCTTTTACCAATCCCTGCCTGCCGCGGCCTGGCCAGCAGGGATGCAGCTTCCTGAGCCCCGGGGAAGGGGACAGATGACACAACGGAGACGAAAGGAGGAAGCACAGATTTCCTTCTTGGCTCCTGAGTTGTGCTTTACTTGGTGGAAATCCAAGGTCTGGATAAAAGTTTGAGAAAAAATAGGTTCGCATTTCCAAAGCTTTGGAATTCCCTGGGCCTCTCTTGAAGACCTCAGACCTGGTACCTCAGGGACCCCAGAGTCACGGGAGTTGGATGTGGACCAGACAGAAGGGTCAAGAGAAACCTCAGGGTGGAGAGGAGGCTGTAGAGTGACCACGGGAAAGTGACAGCAGGAAGGTGGTGACAGGCTTCAACTGCCCCATTCTCTCTCTGAACCCCAGAACTTCCCAGTGGCCCCATAGGAGCGAGAGACATGTCAGAAGCGAGGGAGAAGCTGCAGAAAGCCCGTAGGTAGAAGGACCTTGGTGTCCAACCAGCCAATGAATGACCAAGAGAAGTGGGACGAGGACCCTCTGAAGATGCTGGTCAGGCTGGGAGATGCTCAAGGGCAGGATGCTTCCCAGATGCCCCCACTCTCAGATGCCACATTACCCACCACCCATGAACTTAGACCTGGCCCCAGGAAATGTGAGTTTATTGAATTACCTGACATTAATTGAGGTTTGCTTTCTGCCACCTGGTGGAAAGAGGTTCGTAGTCCTTTTCTCTGGGCAGCTGTAACAAATAACCACAAAATGGGTGGCTTAAAACAACAGGAATCTATTCTCATATTCTGGAAGCCTAAAGTCCAAAATCAAGGCATTGGCAGAGCCAAGCTTCCTCTGAAGGCTGCAAGGAGGGGCCTTCCTGCCTCTTCCAGCTTCTGGGGGTGGCGGGCAGTCCTTGGCCTTCCTTGGCTTGGAGACACATCATTTTAATTGTTACGTCCATCTTCACGTGGCCATCTCCTCTACATGTCTGTGTCCAAATTTCCCTCTTCTTATAAGGACATCAGTAATTCGATTAGGGCCCAGCCTATTTCAGTATGACCTCATCTTAACATCTGCAAAAACCCATTTCCGAATGAGGTCACATTCCCAGGGTGTGGGGGGATAGATGAGGGGAACGAAGGAAGATAATGGGTTAGGACTTGAATATATTTTTTTGGGGAGACAAAATTCTGCCCTCTACAAGGCTCAAGAGAGAAATGAAGTAACTATAGCAACCTACTCAATCTCCCATGAAGCCTGATAATCCCCATTTTGCAGAGGAGTCTACTGAGGCCCAGAGAGGTTACCTAACCTGCCCAAGGTCACACTGTTACTAAATGTCTAAGGTAAAATCTGAACCCAGGCCATCTTGCTCTGGGATTTAGCCTAATAACCCTTACACCATAATGCACATTCCTAAATTAGGTTTCTGCTATTGAACTGCCCACGTAGTGGCATTAGGTTGGACTACCACATGGACCTGAGCTTGCGGGAAGGCACATCCATTCCAGAAGTGGATTTTGGATCCACTTATCTTTGGACTCAGTTCTCACTTCTGAAGAAATCCAGCCAGATCCACAGATCAAATTGCCCTCAAACTTGGTGACATGAAACAATAAACATTTATCATCTCAAAGGTTCTGATGGGCAGGAATCTGGAGGTGGCTCTACTGGTTCAACGTTGGGTCACCGATGAGCAATAATCCAAGTTCTAGCTTTTCTTTTCCCCTTTTCATAGAAAACAACTTCTGCCATCCAATTGAAAAATCTCTTATCCGGAAGGCTCCATCACTTTCTCATGTGCTCCCTAATCCTACTCACCACCCTGTGGGTTTTTTTTTTATTTAATTTTTCTTTGCTTGTCATGTTTGTACATTGCTGGAAGGGTGGCTGAACGGAAGACACCTGTGTCCATACATGTGCATTTCGCATGTAGGTGCTTATTTTCCTCAAATGCCTGTGTCTCAGCTGGGGATCCAAGGTGACTTCGTGCCTTTCAGGCACCCCTGCATGCTTCTGACACTGTCCCCCATTAAGGCTGGACAGGGTGGGTGTGCTGAGGTTGTCTTTTGATTGTCAAGTTGAGGCTGTTTTAGGCTGTTGAAGGCTTTCCAGCAGTTTTTCAGTGTGCCATTCCCAATGACGCCTGTGAACAAAGGCAGTGGCTCTATACCAACGAGACCCCATGGGCCATAGAGAGGCTGCAGGAAAGGCTGCAGAACACCTTCTTGAGGGTCCAGTTCATTCCCTCCATGAGGGGGAGGATAGAAGGTAGTCTGTGCAAATTAAACATAATTCCCTAGGCCCGCACTTTTGAAATGGTGTACCATGGCGCACTGGTGGGCTGCAAGAATTTTTAAAAAAGATCTTATATATTTATTTTTAGATATATGGGGAAGGAGGTAGACAGAGGGAGAGAAACATCAATGTGTGGTTGCTTCTCACCCACCCCCTACTGGGGACCTGGCCTGCAACCCAGGCATGTGCCCTGGCTAGGAATTGAACTGGTGACCTTCTGGTTCCCAGGCCCACACTCAATCCACTGAGTTACACCAGCCAGGGCCTGAAAGAATTTTTAAAACATGCAATACCTGATTATTTAGTCAGGGGCACTGAACTCTTTTCGTTTAGATGATCAAATTTAAAAAAAAAAATGACAACAGCCAACATAACAATAGCCATCTGATGTGAATGAATTAAAAACTTATATCTATTTTTCATCAGATCACCAAAAAATATATTTTTGGTGTGCTGCCAAATTTTAATAATTAGCTTCTAGGTGCCATGGAATGACAAAGGTTGAAAATCACCACTTTTGGCTGATTCTGAGTTGAACATGCGGTCTCTGGCACCCTCTTCTGGTGGAACTTTTTATTACAGATTTATTCAAGTATAATTACATAACAATGAGGTCATCCATTTTAAGCATACTGTTTGATGATTTTAAGTACATTTGTCCAATTGTACAACCATCACCAGAATCTGATTTTAGAAAATTTACACCTTCTCAGAAATATCCTTATTGTCTGTTTTGAATTAATCCTTTCCTCCCATCTCTAGCTTTCTGTCTCTGTGCCTTTTCTGGAAACATTGTATGAATGGACTCACAAAATATATGGTCTTTTGTGTCTGGTTGCTTTCATCATTTTTTTGAGATTCATCTATGTTTTTGCGTGTGTCAGTACTTCGCTCCATTTTATTGCCGACTAGTATTCCATTTCATTCCTTCCGATGGACATTTGAGTCGTGCCTAGTTTGGGATGATCGTGAATGAAGTCGTAACGAACATCTGTGTACAGCTCTGTGTGTTGGGATTTGCTTTCATTTCACTAGGTTAAATGCCTACAAGATGAATCGTTAGGAGGGGTATTATATGCAAGAATTTTTTAAAAAGATTTTATATATTTATTTTTAGATATACGGGGAAGGAGGTAGACAGAGGGAGAGAAACATCAATGTCTGGTTGCTTCTCACCCACCCCCTACTGGGGACCTGGCATTGTCTGTTTAACTTTTTCAGAAGCTCCTGGGCTGTTTCCCAAAATCACCACGTCATCTTCTGTTCCCACCAGCAGTGTATCAGGGAGCCAAAGTGGAATCACTTTTCTGAAAAAAAAAATTTTGCCCTGGATGATGTAGCTCAGTGGATTGAGCATAGGCTGTGAACCAAAGGGCCACAGAGTTCCACTTTCCACGGGGACAAAGGACCGTGGGTTCTGGGTTGCTGATCTCAACCATAGACTTTAATTGGGGGCGGATTCAAGGACTCCAGTGTCAAAGGTCAAACGTCAAACATGAGCCGCCTCTGCCCCACAGGAGGTGACGTCACAGTTAGTGTTTTTGTTCTTGAAAGTGGGGCATAGACCAATGGTGACTTTGTCACCCGACGACCCCTGACCTCGCAAGTCACCAAGCCCTTCTGTCCTGTCCAGGTTCCAGATAAGGGGCGCTCCGCAGAGAGAGACTGAGTCAGGGGTTTCTGATTCTAACAGAGAACGCTATGGAAGCCGCGTAACTAGAAGCAGTGATTGGACTATCCAATCAGTGTCATAGAGAAGGAGAATGCTTGGAAGCCTTGTCCAATAAAGGTGCGGGGCGGGTTTCAGAGAACTGTCCAATCAGGGTGAGGGGGCTTCGACAATTGTCCAGTCAGGACCCGGGGCAGGCACACAGGTAGTATGTAAATCGCTCAGCGATACCAGAGTATAGGGCTGCAGGGGATACCCGGGATGTGTATTGTTAAACCACTGGGAGATGGTGAGCGCGTGGGGCTGGGGCTGAAGCCGAAACCGGGAGGGGCTGGTTCGAACCCGCGTAACTAGTTGGAAGCAGCTGCAGGCCTGGGTTCCCTCGCACCACCACTAACCTCCAGGGTCCGGATCAGAGTCTTCTTCCTGTGCCGAGGAGTGGGGTCCTGGCGTTCTGTCCCTGCCAACCCGTGGGGGCGTGCCCCTTGAGTCCGGACTGGAGTGTCTGCCCTCTGCCAGGGGGTGGGGTACCAGCATCGTGTCCTGTCCTGTCCCCATTGAGGAGGCCCGGGTGTCCGCCCTCGGCCGTGCCAGGTGTTTTGGGTTTTCCCTCCCCCCGCCCCTCACCTTCACACCCGCCCCAAGCCCAGATCCTAGTCCTTTGGCTGGGTGAGGTCCGAGGGACTTGACAACCATGGGCGCTGGTGGTCAGGTTGGAGGGCGGCTAGGTCCGGGGAACCTCCCTAGACCAGATAAAGTCAAACCGAGTTTTGATTAAGGAGAGACATTATTTCTGTTAAAACAAAATCGAACTGAGTAAAGATCTAATTGGCTTTATTTAACGATTCATAAATGAAGGGCATCCTATGTAGCAGCTAGAAAGGAGTTCCTAGAAGCTGTAGATTTTTACAGTTAGAGAGGGAACTAGGAAGTTATACTAGCTGATTGTGGCAAGGTCACTTTCCTTTAAGGGAAGGTGAGATCTCTCGGGCAGATGACCTCACTAGTGCTGACCAGTAATTCCTGATTGGCAGGTTTAAGATTCCATTCAAGGGATAGGCTGAAACTAAGTTTGGTGAGTGTGGCTTAGCATAAATGACCTCATGGGGGGATGTTTTATTTTTAACTTCCTAGACTGTTGCAACAGGAATGGGGCTTACATCTCAGAGGGCTTTTTTCAATGGAAGGAATGGGAACAGGAAGGTGGTGTGACAGGAAGCATTCCCAGTGTGCTGAGCACGTCCTCTGCTCAGGACAGCAGAACCTTGTTCTGCAGTCTCAGTGTTTGCTCAGACCTAGTGTGGGACAGTGTCCTGGACCTGTGCAGAGGACAGAAGACTGACTGAAGTTTGGGTAAGAAATGGGCAATTGTGATCAGTTGGTCCAGGCTATGGCAAATAAAAAATCCAAACTTAGTAAGGGGAGACTTTCATTCAAAATGATTATTACTGCAAGGGGCAGGGAGAAGGGACTGTACACTGGGGGCAGGGACTGTGCTGTAGGGAGAAAGCGCTGACCTTACCATCTGCAAGTGTCTCAAGAGCTGGGCTTTCTGAGTTTTGCTTTTGGAGACAGGAGTCAATAAAAGTAGGAGGGACTCAGTTGGGATGGCAAGTTCCCAGGCCAGCCCTTCCTCAGAAAGGTTGTCTGAGGGCTCAGGCTGAGGGTGGGGGGCAAAGTTTAGGGGTCTAGGGGAAAACAGTAGCTGAACGGGACCTGGCCAACAAGCATTTCCTCGGCTTGGTCAGTGGAGATCAGCAGCTCAGCCCAATCAATGACCATAAGCATGATGGGGATTGGGGAGCATCTGTATTGGCCTTGGATAAACGAGGGGAGGGCATTCATCAGCGTGCCCTTTTCCAGCACAAGCCGATGAAGGAGATCTTTCTATCTTCCTTGGAGGCTTCCAGGAGCACAGGACTCAGGGAAGATTCCACATTGTCACCTGATACCTATGAGCAACCTGTGTCCAGCTCAGCACTAAGAGCTTTCTTTCCCTTATTCCAGCCTCAGATGTCAACAGATGTAAAATGACTGAATTCCTTTTGCCTTTTTTTCTCCATGGTAGTGAATTAGTGTCTCAGATCTGTTTGTTCTGTCCTGCAGACTCCTGAACCAGAGAAGCCACTGGGTAAGTGTCAGATACAGAAAATGTCCTCTCTACCGGTGGAATTGCTGGGGGTGGGGGGGAGGGAATGCATGAAGTTCCACACCTTCATGAGAGGTGGGTGTAGATTTGGATTAACATATTCATAAAAATCATAGTGACTCCTTGATTCAGGGTACTAAGTGTGATACTGTGATCCTGTCCTACTTGATGTTAATAGCTGGTTGTAAAAGATTAATGTAAATCCTGTGAAATGTGACCTGTGAAACTGGGATGCATTCAATTCTGATGAGTTCATTTACAATCTGCTGTTATAGTGGTGATGATGATGATAATGACGATGTTAGTAAACTAATGTCTGTTTTCTGAAAGATATAAGTAGTTTCCAGTTATTAAAAACCATAGACGTGCCCCAGAATTTTTTTCCCCGACTCTTTCCTTGAACCTGGGTGGAAGCAGGGATTCCGTGGGATCTCATTTACACACTGGGACAGGCAGGGCCTTTGTCTCATCTAAATGACCCTCGGTGCTTGAAGAGATGCATCACACCTGTTTAGGAACAAGCTGCACCCAAAGTTGGGCCTGTGTAGGAGGTGAAGGAAGGTGCAGTGGGGTCTTGCTGGGCGCTTTCCCCTGCAGGTGGCCTGCAGGCTCCAGAACCACCCAGAACGTGTTGGGTTCTTAGAGAAGCCACAGAGCCGGAGAGAGGAAGACCCGCCTGCAGATGGGCTGGGACGGCTTGTGGCTGCCCGGGGTTGCTTCCTGAAGCTTCGTTTTGGCATCCTGCACAGAGCTGGTGCAGTTAGCTGGGATTTGTGCAAACCAAGTAAGTCTGGGAAGGTCAGTCAGACTTAGGGAGTGAACCTTTGGATTTCACTGCTGGATGGAAATTGGTGACTTTGGGCGTTCATTTCGGCCAGAACTTAAACTGATTCCAGCTGAGCATTTCCTCCTCGGTGAGAATTGAGGGCCTGGAGGAGGGGAGTTCCCACATGGAGGAGAGAGAGCAGAGTGTGTGGTGATCCAGAGTCTGGTTTCCAGGGGAGGGGACCGCCCTGGGCTACCTGTCAGCTGGGAGAGCCCAGCACCCACCCCCTCAGCTCGGGAGGGCCTGGACCTTCTGCCTGGGGTTCCCTTGTGCACTGCGGGAAGCAGGCTGCGGATCTGAGCCAGCTCACTGCGGGCTGCTCTTCCCCTTTGTTTCCTGGGGAGGACCCTGCTGCCACGTGACCCCAGATTGCACCACCGCTTAAGAGTGCTGTCCCATTATTTCAGTGTATGAGATTTTCATTTTCTCCACTGTTAACACTGCTCAGGGTGTGGCCTCATGGCGACCACAGTCCTGGTTCTTGTTACTCTTTGCAGCTTCAATCTGTTCGTCATCCCAAGCAGTTAGCTGTGTTGTGAGCTCTAGTATAAATCCTGCTCCACGAAAAAGCCAATTCCAATTCTTCATCCAAAGGTGTTGATGAGGTTGTCAGACACCATCCAGTCCCAGTCCCCAGCAGATGACAAAGCAGCAGAGGCAGAAAGAAGACTTGAGGAAACTCCCTGGAGAAGACGACGCCCCCTTCTTCATGGATACTTGTGTGCTTCAGGGAGCTTGGAGAGGAACTCCCTGGGGGGATATTTCTGGCTGACGACCAATTTCATATACAGTCTGAGTTTTTCTTATTTTATTTATTTATTTATTTAGAGGGGAAGGGAAGGAGAAAGAGAGGGAGAGAAACAACAACAGGAGTTGCCTCTCACATGGCTCCCACTGGGGACCTGGCCTGCAACCCAGGCATATGCCCTGACTGGGAATTGAACCTCGACCCTTTGGTTCACAGCCCGCGCTCAATCCACTGAGCTACACCAGCCAGGGCCTGAATTTTTTTTTAAGATGCTTTTGACTTCTTTTCTTCTCTCAATATAATCCTCAGACTGAGAGTTTTTTCCCTCCAGTACTTTGGGTGTCTGGTGCTATGAGTGTCTTGTTGGGTCTGTGAACCACGTGGGCTCTCACAGTGACCATTCGTGGAGCTGATGCAGCAGGATTTTTCCCATGTCACCATTATAAGTAGAAACAGGCTGGGACACTGCTCCCGTTCCTGTTATTGCTGAGGTGCAGCTCTCCCCAGGACTACTGTCTTCCTGTGTCCCAGAGTCCCACTCTACAGGCGCCAGAGGATGGCACTGCAGCCCCCAGGACAAGGGGAGGGATGGGCGGGGCGGGGCCTGAGCCAGAGGGGAAGTGCTGGGTCCAGGAAGTGCTGCAGCGTCATCCCAGGGCCCCTGCTCACTGTCCTTTGAATATTTCTTGATGGTCCTTTTTTGGTCTTGGTAATACTGTACAATTTCTTTCTACAATTAGAAATCACTGATTTTTGAATATGTGATACCTGGCCTAGGAAGTGTTTGAAGATTGCATTTAATGTGTGGGACATATTTGAATAGACCAATTTTCTTTTTTTCCTTTAAATATTTTGTTTATTTATTCTTAAAGAGGGGGGAAGAGTGGGAGAAAAAGAAGGAGAGAAACATGGATGTGTGAGAGAAACATTGATTGGTTGCCTCTCGCACATGCCCCAACCTGGGGCTGGGCCTGGCAACCCCAGCACGTGCCCTGCCTGGGAATCAAACCAGCCACCTTTTGCTTTGTGGGATGGCTCCCAACAAACTGAGCTACACTGGCTAAGGCTCCTTTCTTTTATTCCAATGTTTTAAAAATTTATTTATTTAACTTTAGAGGGGAAGGGAAGGAGAGAAGGAGGGAAATATCAATGTATGGTTGCCTCTCATGGGTCCCCTGCTGGGAACTGGCCTGCAACCCAGGCATGTGCCCTGACTGGGAATCAGACCCGACCCTTTGGTTCACAGGCCTGCGCTCAATCCACTGAGCTACACCAGCCAGAGCTTTTTTTTTCCAATTTTTATTTATTGATTTGAGAGAGTTGATTTCTTGTTCCGCTTATTTATGTGTTCATTGGTTAATTCTTGTACGTGCCCTGACCTGGGATCTAACCCACAACCTTGGCGTGTTGGGATGACGCTCTAACCGACTGAGCTACTGGGCCAGGGTCCAATTTTGTTTCTTTAGTGACCATGGACATGCACAGATGTTCTGTTCACTTGCATCATCTCAGCTCCATTTACTGATGTCTATACATTTATCCCATTACATGTAATCTAAAAAAATCTCTTCCCACAAGTGGTTTGTAAATCTCCACAATCTGCTTCATCTGTGAAACATCTGTAATTTTGTTCCTTTTAAAAAATACTTTCTTAGCCCTGGCTGGTATGGCTCAGTGGATTGAGTGCCAGGCTGCGAACCAAAGGGTTGCCAGTTTGATTCCCAGGTAGGGCACAGTCCTGGGTTTCAGGCCAGGTCCCCAGGAGGGGGTGTTCAAGAGGCAACTGCCCGTTGATGTTTCTCTCCTTTTCTTTCTCCTTCCCTTCCTATCTCTATAAAAGTAAATAAAATCTTTAAAAAAAGAAAAAGAAAATATGTATTTTTTAAATTAAAATTGCCATTTTTCTCAAATTCTCAGTACTTGGTCTTGGTTGGTCATTTGAGGGGCCCTCCTGGCTTGACCGATTCTTCGGGAACCAGCCATTCCTCCCATCTGGCAGACGTGCTGGGCCCAGGCTCGTGGCTGCGCCCGCGCCTGCAGTGCTCACCTGCTCCCGGGAGGGTTGTGTCTGCCGCTGTCAGACATGCGGGGCTAGACCAGGCTCCCCAGTGCTGTTGCCTTCCAAGGCGAGAGCTGTTCACGTCACGCTGCCCTGGAAACTTCAGGGCTCACGACACCCTGACGGTCTGGTTGCAGGCCTTCTAGCTGATGGAGAAATAACTTTTGGGCAGCCAAGTATCCATTTCCATGTTATCTGAATGACGATTTAATTCTTTAATCTTTGTCTTACTCAGTAGCTGCTTTACCTCAGTAAAAATCATCCTTATAATTATCTGCGGATAAGTCTGTCTCCACTGTTGTTGCACTTTGCTTCCAGGTTCCAAGCACTTGCCATCACTGAGTGTGCTACATTTGGTCTGCCTGCTTATTGCTATTTCCCATGAGAAGATGTGCTCAGGAGTCCTAGGAATTGAGCCCAGTTTCCTGACTGAAGGCCCTCCCCATTTCCCACATGAGAAGAGGTTGTTGAAAGAGGGTATGTGGGGAATTTCAGGACGTGGTGGTCTTTGCGGATGTGGCTGCGAACTCCAGCCCCGAAGAGTGGGCTTTGCTGGATCATTCTGAGAGGAAGCTCTACAGAGATGTGATGCTGGAGACCTGCAGGAGCCTGGCCTCCGTGGGTAAGGACGGCTTCACCCCTTCACTTAGATTCTAGGGAAGAAATACTTTTACAGTTGTCCCTTCCTTTGGGGGACACAGTCCAAGCCTCCATGGAACCTACTGAGAATCAAATAGCTTTTCCATGAAAACAAAGATTCATATATATCAATCTGTTTATTACTGTTCATGAAACGTCTGAGGGTCCCTGTTTCTGTAAGTGTGAGCACAGTGTCCAGTTCACTTTGGGGAAGTGAGAGCAGCTTTGTGCTTTTCACCCTTGAGACAGCTGCACTGTGGGTAGTACACATTTGACATGGTCATCTTGCTGTGATTAAATCTACACTTACCCAACGTCAGCGGCCTTTAAGGCCGTAGAGTCAGCCCTTTTCACAGAATGTTCGTTGTTCTCCATCCTCCCCCATGATGAGCTTTAGTCCAGGAGCAAGGCAGTGGCCACACGCCATCCGATCTCCCAGTGGCAGCTGGGGACCGTGGAGAAAGGCTTCATCCAGGCCTCTGTTTCTGCAAACAGCAGGAAAACCACCGCCCTCGGGAGGAATAGGCTCTGAATAAGGGCATGACAATCAGGCGCGGCCCGCAGAAGCAACAGTCTGTTTGGGACGGTGACGGTTGTCGGTTTCTGGCCTCCCTGCTGCACTTTCCATCCGTTGCACTCACATGGGAAGACTCTGTATCTCCTCTGCTGCAGGGGGCCCTCGGGCACACGCATCTTGCCCAGGGCCTTCCTGCTTTGCTCTTCTGATAATATTTACCTCAGTATCAGTCTTCATCTCTCAGGTATTTCTTAGTGAAAAGACTTCCATTTTGACTTTTTTTTTGCTATTATTGCCAAAGTTTCAGATAGCCAAGGTCCTTGGAGTTTTTCTGTGTTCACATGTCCACACCTTCTTATAAAATTTGTTTATATTTTAGAATCATATATGAAAAAAATCCACACATGAACTATTTACTTCCTCTAACACATCATTTTGATCCCTAGAAATTTTATGCTACCTATTATTGCAGAATGTTCCATGCACAAAACCAGTAGATCATGTTCTTGGTGGAATATTCTGGAGACTGAAATATCCAGCGAAGACAACATAGTCAGATTCACAGGAAACGATTCCTGCTCTCTTTCTGGAGAACACTGGACATTTCACAACATTGGAGACCAGCCCCAAACCCAGGGGAGGCGTTTGAGGTGAGCAGCACTCCCACGGGAGGAGGGGGCTCCGCAGAGCGTTAGACTAACTTGAAGTTAAAGAAGGAGCATAGCTGTAGCTGAACAATCGTGCACTCAGATAATGACCACCTGACAACATTTTCATAAACGTGTTGGAGATGCTGGGTGTCTGTGCAGAATTCGGTTGGAAACAACGATCTGGAAACCCCACTTGTCAGAAACAAGGAGAGTTATGGCCTTATTTGAGCTCAGCCAGAGAGGTAAGATTATTCTACATTGCAACGGTGCAACAGTGCCAAAAACAGCCACTTGTTGAAAATGGCAAATGCGTAGTCAGTATGTATAGTCATGACCAACCATGAATGAATCATTAATCAAGATATCATCTATAATCTACCCTGGCTGGTGTAGCTCAGTGGATTGAGCACGGGCCTGGGAACCAAAGGATTGGGTTCCATTCCCAGTCAGGGCACATGCCTGGGTTGCAGGCCAGTTCCCAGAAGGGGACACACAAGAGGCAACCATACACTGATATTTCTCTCCCTCTCTCCTTCCCTTCCCCTCTAAAGATAAATGAATAAAATATTTTTAAAAAAGATATCATCTATAATCTAATAGTGCACTTCCTCTTTTAAACAGAAATCACGTGTTGGAGCTCCCTGTGAAAGGGGTGAAGCTCATCCATGCGGAGACACCCTGAACCCCGTCACAGATCTTCCTGTGGAGGAGGGACACCTGCCCGGAGTTAAGCCCCATGAATGTGTGAAGTGTGGAAGAGCCTGCTTGAGTCAGCCGAGGTCTCCCACTGGACATGAACCTCATCCCTGTGAGGAATGTGGACAAGCCTACATGTATGTCTTGTGTGCAGGCCCTCACGTGGAACCAGAGCGTGTGGACAAACCCTGTCACCGTTGGGACACTGGGAGAGCGTCTGAGAGACACGTGAAGAGCCTCAGTAGTACAAACTCCATCAAGTGTCAGAAATGTGGAAAAGCCTTCACTCGCCTTTCCTCCTTTTGGGGACACGTGAGGGGTCACTGTGGACAGAAAACTCACGCTTGTAAAGTATGTGGGAAAGCCTTTATGTATTGTTCCTACCTTACATGACACGTGAGAACGCACACTGGAGAGGGGCCCTGTGACTGTGAGTGTTGTGGAAAAGCTTTCAGCTGTTACTCCTACCTGCAGGAACACG